CAAAATCACTGGCCCTGTTCTGTTTCCTGCCCGCTTACAACATGACTTGCTTTCTCATTTGATCCCGATTTAATCCATATTACCTGAGCACTTATGCTCATAATCTTATTGTTTGGCCATAGTTTTGTCCAGCCTCAGGCCTATCTTGTAATTTCCCCCTTTTCCCCACCTTGCACCCACCTCACCTCGTGGTTTTGCTCTATAAGAATCTCTAAAAAAGGTAGAGCCCTCAGCAACCCACTCAGGAACTCGTCTCTTTCAGACAGCTTTCCCAATAAACATATTCTGCTCTTAAAAAAACATAAAGGTGTATGGGGCCCCAACCCAGCGCCTCACACATGCCAGGCAAACACTGCACCACTGAGCCACATCCGCAGCCCCTGCCTATTCCTTTGAAACTGAAGCAAGACATGGACTTCTCAGTTTTGGAAAACTCTGGGTGGCATCTTCTTTCAGTAGGAGCACTTTTCTCTATGCCATTGAGGGTGGCGCCTTCGAGTCTCCTAACCGGCTCACCTTCCAGCTTCACGTCCTGGACACGTCTTCTTTCCTTCAACCCACAAACCAGCCCTGTGGCTCCAGACTTCCACAGATTCCCGCCTCTTCCAGCCCTGAACCTGGAAGTTGTTCTGCCTTAGGGTTTGGCCCGAGGGAACCTGCTGAGTGCTTTGTCCTTCCATCCAGACCATAAAAACTTGGTCCCTCAGCCACGGGGCTGTTTCCTTTCTTCTCCTTTCTGTGTCCTGGAGTAGCAGTTTTAATCTCCTTGAGGAACTTTCCCTGTGCATTTACAGTTTGGCTCCTGGGTGAAATAGTCCTAGCTTCTGCTACGTCTCAGCTTTCAACATCTATCTCACCAAGCCTAATAATTTCTTGCTTTGGATGTGACGTGACAGGTGTGGGACTCTTCCATTCACTCGAATGGAGGCCACCGTAGATGATTAATTCACCTTATTTCAGGGTTTATTTTTCTTCTTGTTGTTGTTGTTCCTTGTCGTAGTAAGACCTGAAGTCAGGGAGAGATGGGGCAGGGCTGGTCAGTGGAGCAGCTGGAACACACATGTAAGTTTTCTAATATGGATGCAGCCTGTGCACCGCCCCTCAACAATTGCAATATAAATAGCGTGGATCAATGATCACAGGTCAGATACCAGGTAAAATAATGATGAAAAGTTCCAAATATTTCCAGAATTGCTGCAGTGAGACACAGAGATGGAGTGTGCCCGTAGTATTGGGAAAATGGCCTTGCTAGGCTTGTTCAATGCAAAGTTATAACTTTCAGTTCATGAAGCAGTGTCATCTGCAAAGTGCAGTGAGTGCAGTAGAGCAGAGGCCTGTCGGGCGCAGGGCGTGGTCAGCGCGCTGCAGCTCCCGCTCCAGAGTCTGCAGGACCACAGTCTCCAGCTCAGCGCGCAGCAGAGCGTCCTCCGGGCGGAGCTCAGCGCTGCCTGGGCTTTGCTCCCGCGTGTGCCCTCCCTCCCACACCAGCCTCCCCCACTCCACAACACTCGAGCACATTCCGGTCAGAAGAGGGGATCCCGGATGTCATGGCTGTGTCCAGATGTCCCCTCATGTGGTCCCAGGTGGGGTGTCTTCAGAGGGGGCCAGATCTAGTGTGTGACACTGGGATGGATTCATGGTACAAAGATAGGCTCAAGGGCACTAGGATTAAGGGTGTGAGTGCTGCCCGCCCTAGTAGCCAGGATAGGATGTAAGGGCAGAAACAGCTGTGGTCGCTCCTTGTTGCTTTGCTACCTTCTGCCCGCCATGAACTGTTTGTCCCCTGCGATTCCTGTCCGTCACGCCTCCCTGCCTTGGAGCCGGCTGATTATGGACTGAAACCTCTACAAATTGTGAACCAAATAAACTCTCCTCCTTTAACTATGGTTGTCAGTTGGGGGCCACGGGATAGGAAATCATAGTTCACTATGTTAGGGACCAGACTATGTAGTCCCAGGCTGGGGTGACTCGCCTCAGGGACAAGGAGTTTGCAGACAGCTGCATGCCCTCTGGCTGTTGGGAAAGCGCACATTCACAGCCTCCTGAGACAGGCCTGCAGACCTAGTACAGAACGCAGGCATCCAGAGAAGGTGGCCTGAGGACATCACAAGAACCGCAGGACCCCAGTCTGTGCGGCCCAGAGCTGCAAAGGTGAAAGACTGTGCTTTGAGAAGGGCCCCAGGGCACCGTGTTCCAGAATGGCGGCGGCCTAGAGAGTCTGATCCTCAGGACTGGGCTCAGAGCCCTCAGCCATCCAGGCACCGGACCCCGACAGCCAGGAGAGGGAGAAGCCTGGCTACTGCTCCAGCCGGCGGCCAACGGAAGAAGCCGCAGCTCTGAGCCACACGGAGTTCAGACGGGGATGGAGGCCCCAGTCCGCCTCTGCGGAAAGGGAGCTGTTTGGGAAAATGACGCAGGTCAGGGCGGGGCTCGGGTCTCCCGGTGCCCTCTCCGGGGCTGGGCGGTCACAGGCGCAGACACCCCCAGAAGCCCTGGCAGGGAGAGGCCGGGCTGCGGAAGTCACCGCGGGAGAAGGGAGCGAGCCGAGCACACGGCGCGGCCCACGGCGCACCCAGGCCCGTCTCGCGCCGGGAAGAACAACGCCGGGTCTGCAGAGCCCGGGGACGCGGCTGCGGGAGGAATCCGGCCGGGCGGCCCCTCCGGGCCCCACCCGCGCTCCCCGGGCTCGGGATCCGTCCTCGCGCTCACAGCAGCCGGAGCGCGGCGCGCTTCCCCGGGGAGAGGAGAGGTCCGGGCAGGCCGGCAGCGGCAGGGCCTCCGGCGCTCAGAGAACCGGTCCCGGCCCAGGGAGGTTTCCGACGCGGCTGCAGAGCAGGGGATCCGGACCGGGAAGCGGAGGGCAGGGGCCCGCGCCTCCTGGAGCTCCGTCCCGCCCCGGCCCTCTGCGCTCCGCACTGAGAGGGCCGGTTGTCGCCGCCAGGGCGTCCGCGGGGACCCTGGACATGTCGTGCGTGGGCGTGGAGTCCCGTCCTCAGCCCCGATGCTCCGCCCCTTCCTCCCCGCCCCTTCCGCTCCGTCCCGCGCCGGCCCCGCCCCTTCCGCTCCTTCCCGGCTCCGGCTCCTCCCGGCCGCGGCGTCCCGGTCGCAGCCAGGACCTGAGTGTTTCCCCGCCGCCCAGGGCGGTGAGCGGCGGCCGCCGGGTCACGCGGCGCTGGGATCGGCGTGGGGCGTGGAGCCGCCTCGGGGTCCTGCGGCCTCCCCAGGGCTGCGCAGTTACCCGCCCTGGGTCGGCCGGGACCTGGACCGAGAGCAGCAGGTGGAGGATTCAAGGCACCGGAACTCACTCCGTTGGGCTGGGGAGATCGTGTCGGGGTCCTTCCGTGGGGACTTGAGAGCCGAATACTCCGTGAATCTGATTGGCTCCTCGGGGAACCAACACCCAATGGGATGCAGCACTGCCGTGGCGTCATCAGTGTCCAGGCAGAGAGTGTTTACCCAAGTTGTAAGGGAGAAGTGAAACTCCGGGGAGGTGGGGACTGACCCGCGGGGTTTCCCACCCCAGACCACGCCCTGGGCGGAGACCAGGAGAGCCGGGTGGGGACCCGGAACTGTGCTCTGGTCACTCACCTCCTGCGCCGCACTCTTTGTCACAGTTTCCTCATTTCCGTGGAGGAAGTGGCTGGCTAGATCAGCTGCTGTCAGAGGGTTTTGTGTTTTTTTCTTGTTTCTTTTTGTTGGTGTTTTTTTGGGGGGGGTCTCAGTATGTAGTTCAGTCTGGCTTGAACTCACTGTGTAGCCCGGAGTGGCCTGGACGGTGTGTCGATCCTCCTGCTTCAGCCTCCCGAGTTCTGGGATTACAGCCATGCACCACCAAACCCAGTTTAAACTTTTTGGTTGGGAGCTTGCTTCGGCAGCACACCTACTAAAATTGGAACGATACGGAAAAGATTAGCATGGCCTCTGCCCAAGTTTGACACTCAAGTTTGTGAAGCTTTCTATATTTTTTTTTTAAAAAAAAAAGAGTAAATAAATAAACTTTTTGGTTGGTTTCAAGATGTTCATGTGCTGTTAGGAATTACTGAGGATCTCAAAGGTAAACATGTTTATAGAAGTTATAGCTATAAATAGTAGAACTTAAAATGTTTTAGAATATTTAATTCATTAGAATATTGGTAGTCCATTGTTAACAAAACTACAATTTAATGAGAAACATTTTCCAAAAATATACAGCATAGTAAGAATGGGTCTTTCGACACTTTACATTTTTGCAAATCCTCTTCTTGTCTGTCTCATTAGAAGACTGTGCTGGGTTTTCATATCTACTTCTGCATTTAGCCAGTTTATTTGATCAAAGTACAGGAAAAAATTCAGCTTCACACGTGTGTAGGAGGAATATGTTCAATGATGTTGTTAGATAATTGTGGATATTCGTCTCTGTTACTTCACTGGAATGAAATGAGTGCTTACCTAAAGCTTTCTTGCAACGTGGAACCTGAGACAGCAGTGTTCAATAGTTCATATTTTGTTACATTAGACCCCATAGGTCTGTCTTGCACTTTGAAGGATATTGTGCTAATGCATAACTTAGAAAAATTAGACTGACCAAGTTCTGTAGACTTTGTGTGTTTCCATAGTTCATTACATATCATCAAAAAAACATGTCTTCATAGTACCATATATTTCATCAGAAAAGTTACAAATATTTGCACAGTGAAAAACTTATGGAATACAAATTCTTCAAAATTCCAATTTTCTTTTGAAATCTCACATTTTATTGTTGGCAAAAATACACTCAGTATCTTGTGTTGAAGGGGCAGGCAGGTCATTTATCATAGTTTCTCTGTCATCTACTTTTTCCAGAAAAATAGTATTATAATGAAACGGGTTAGTATAGCCCCCAGAATGTCTCTGCTGGACACAGATATCCTACTTTGGAATGCAGTAGAAGTATATTATGTGCATTTCCCTTTCATCACATCAAATATTCAAAAAATATGAACTTTGGATTGGAGATTTGATGAAATGAATAATTTTTCCTACTTCCACCTGGATATGTTTAAGTGCAGCTGGCTTTGTTTGTTTCCTTCTGAAGTAATGAAGAGTAAAGTAAAAATGGTAGCAGGTTGGTGCCCATGGTCCTACTTCCCCCTCCAGTACTTACTGGATTATTGAAGATTGAAACAGCAGAATTTTCTGCTTAAATTAAGTCACTCTACTAGGATGTTGTTAGGCAAGGAAGATTTAACCAAAAATGAGCCTTAACTCCTACTCCTTTGAAGCTTTTACCTAGAAAGCATCAGGGCTCACTGGGAAGGCAGGGGGAGAAAAGTGTAAGGAGGAAACAAGAAAACAGTAAGAGATGCAGAGAAGCTGTTGAGAATGTGGGCCAAACTTGCCTTCTAATATCCATCCCTACACACACACACACACACACACACTTCCACTACACAGAGCTGCCCAGCTTGGGCCAGACTTCCTAAGAAATGCCACTCCAAATGGATTATGTAAATTGCATAGTAATAACGTGCAAAGTTGTGAAACCACATCTAACAGGGGAAGCAACTTTCCTGTGGGATGAACAAGGCCAGGGCCCGGATGGCAGTGGGCAGATTCACACTGGATGCTTCCCCTCCTTCTAGCTCCTTACTGCTCAGGCTGTGAGCAACAGCAAGCCTAGAGCCTGGACAAGAAAACGGGGAAAGGAAGAGAGGCGCAAAAGTTATCCAGACCCTGAGCGATACACAGAGCAACAAGGATGTAGGTGAAGCCTCGTGGAGGAGGACATTCTAGGGCTCACCTTTCAGGTATTACCTGTGTGGGAGTTTGAGCCTGACCAAGCCATATGATTGTTTGATTCTGGAGGAAGTCTAGCAAGAGCATCAGTGAAAAGGAAGTGATAGCAGGACCTTAGTCACTGTGGAAAGCCGCAGGACACTAAATGCTTTGCTGAGGTGTGCCTGCAGGAATGATAACATGATGGCTAACTAAGTCAGGTCTCATTCCTGTGATAATTAAGCTGTGTTGTCCTCGCTAGTCCTATTACTGATTCCTCCCATTTCCCCTGTTGCTGCTTTTTGTTTGTATCCTAATAAAAGGATAAAGAAGATTGTAATCCAGGCTTCAGTTCCAATGGCTGTGGCCCCCGATCCCATAACTTTGTCTTTTTTTTCTCTTCATCAGACAGAAACTGACTGTATACCCACAAAGCCAAGCTGTCACTCATCACCTTAAGCAGAAACTTAGAGCTCAGCAAAACCAGCCAGGACAGGGGGCGCCAGGTGAGGGGGTGACTGCTCCTCCTCAGCGTTTCCTGTTTTCCTCCTCCAGGCTCTCAGGAGATGCTTCTCCCTTTCCTCTATGGACTTGAGAGTCAGCCGGATGATTTTCCTCCATTCGAACTGGGAGCTCCTCAGAGATGAAGCTCTTCCCGAGCTGTCTCTGAGCTCCAAGGGCACAGCAAGAGTCTGACAGAGTCTGTGGGCGGCAGGCAGTGAGGGAGCAATCAGCTGACAGCCAGGACGTCCCTGGTGAAAGCCAGGCCGTGAATGATTCTGCCTCACCAGCCCTCAGACTCAGCAATGGACAGCTGCAGTCTGGTCTTCATCCCCGTCCTCCCCGCAGGTCCTCTGAGACTCTGAGGGAATTTTCCCCTTGCTCCATGGAGGCCTTAGCTGAGATCTGGGTGGCCAGCAGCGTCAAAGGTGAGGCCTCTGTTGATCCTTGTGGGCTTCTGGCCTGGCTTCCAGCACAGAGGAGTCTGAAAGTTTCCTTCCTTTCTACTTTGGATCCTACGAAAACGCCTCAGTGTAGACATGCACTTGTGTGTAGTACTCTGTGCCCGAGTCCCAGCTCCTCAGGAGGAGAGGCAGGAGGTCATGAATCCAGGAGCTCACGGCCAACTTGGGAAACAGTCAGGCAAATACAACTCTGAGAAGTGTCTCAGTCACTTTTCTCAACGGCTGAGACACAATGCCTGACACCTGCTGCTAAAGGGAGGAGAATTTGGCTCACGTTTCAGTCCGTGGTCGGTGGCTCCTGGCAGAAACAGCACCATGGTCAGACAGGATCCCTGGGCCTCCATGCTACAAAGTCCAGGGTGACAAGGGAACCAGAGCCGATAACGAGGCAGCAACGCTCTGTCTGTGGGATGTGTCTTTCAGGAGGGTGTGCAGGGGGTGCGTTATGTGCACCTTTGCTGCCAGCCAACAGGGAGCTCCAGAAACCTGTCCAAGTCTTCGATGATTGCACACTGGGGGCTGAGCTGGTCGGCTCTGTCAGTGCGTGTACACACGGGCAGCTGTGCTGACTGGATCGCTTTCTGCTTTCACTGCTCAGGTGGAGGAGGTGACTTCAAACCTGAGTCTGCACTGGGCTGTCAGACAGACCTGCGGGCTCACGGAAACCACCTGAACTTAACCAGGTTTCACAGGATCCAATTAAAATTATCAACCACAAAAGCCATGTGGGTCACTCCCATCTGTCCACACACCTGTGAAGAGGGGCTGCAGAGCACACCTGTGTCCTCCTCTGCACAGGGGTGGGATGGCTTTGTAAAGCTGGATTCTTGGTCCGAGTTTCTGAGTTCTGAGAGCTGTTCCAGAGATTTCCTTTAGAAAAACTGTCCCCCCTGGCAGCACATTGCAGGGGCACAGAATGGGCCATAAAGCTTGCTTATTCCTGTGACGTCATCAACCTGTCAGCAATCTCAGGGGAGAGTGACAACGGTGTCCAGGTTGGCAGATGGAGTGGCTGCATTCCAAGCCACACTAAGGTTGTGGGGCCAGTGACTAAACATTCAGATTTCTGACGTGTCTCAAACATTAGCAGAGATTATGAAAGAGACTGTGCCAGGTGTTCTCCAGTTGGTGCCTGATCACCTATCTCAGCTTTCAAAAGGGTTTGAGGATTACTTCCCACCTCAAAGACCCCTGACCTCAGAAGGTACAAATCTGCCACCGTGTGCGAACAAGCCAGGTGAATTGACCTCATCTGTGATAGAAGAGGATCAACTGCTGGAGGTCAGGAGTGACAATGGCCTTCAAAGTGTGTCTGAGACCATGGCAGACCTCCCTAGGTTCTGGTTACAAGTCAAGGGGGAATTTTCTGCGATTGCCAGAAAAATACTGCAGTCTGCTTTCTGCTCCAGCTTCCCATCTTCGTTAAACAGTTTTCTGCAGTGACAGCGACCACAGTGAGATATGAACTGACTAGACACAAGCAGCACACGTGGGCCTCACTGCCTCCCGTCACTCCCAGACAGGACCCTCTAACTGGAGGAAGCCGAGCTCAGGGCACTCAATGATTCTGCACTGTGGAAGGTGCATAATTATTCCATTGCATCTGACACCATAGTAATACTAGAAATAAAGTGCACAGCAAATGCAATACGCTTGAATCATCTGGAGAATCCCCCACACATGGAAAGATTGTGTTTCACAGAACCAGTCCCTGGCACCAACACGGTTGGCAACCATTGGAGTGTAGGGTTGGGACCACATGAGGATTCATTGTTGATGGACCCCAGAGTGAGTGTGTGATTATAATGTACCTGAAAAATGCATATAATCTACAATGTGTTTTCAGTTGATTGTTATTACAAGAGAGTTACAGAGTTTAAAAAGTAAAAGTTTATGAATTGAAAAGTTACAGTAAGCTAACGTTATTGCAAAGTGAAAGTTGTTTTTATAAACTTAGCATAGGCTAAGTGGGTAGTGCTTATGACATCTGCACTCAGGTGCAGCAGTGCTGCAGACCTGCACATTCACTGGCCGTGCACTCGCTGAATGACCCGGAGCAATTTCAGCCCTGCAGCTCCACTCACGGGAAGGGCCCGATGCAGGGCGCATTTTCAATCTCAATGCTGTATTTTACTGTACATTCTCTGTGTCTGGATGTGTTCACACACAGAAATACCATGGTGTTGCAGTTGGCCCCACTTGAATCCTGTTTTCCCTGAGGGACAGAAGCAGTCAGAGACGCGGCCCTTCTCCTGGGACTGTCAGCCTTGTGTTTCCTGTGGCGCGGTGGAAAGCACACTGGCTGAGGAGAAAGAGCCCTGAGTCTGCTCCACAGTCAGCTGCTTCCTGAGCTTTCTCACCTTAAACATCTCATTTCCCCTCACTGTAAAACTGAGAATGATTTTCACATCCATTATCACCCAGAAGCTGTAACACTTCCTGGCAGCCCTGGCTTTCTGCAGCTTCACCTCTCTACTGTGATTTTCTCAAAGTCAGAGGAGAGGAGAGGAGAGAAGGAAGCCACGCATGTACCTTGGACCCACAGTGGGGCAGTGGGCAAGTTTGTAATGGACCACAGTCCCCTGTGCCCCAGAGAGCAGGGTCTGCCAGGCCACTCTGTGGAAATGGTCACTGTGGGCCACAGCTTCAAGGGAGGAGCTGCTGTGAATCATCTTCCTCGAGAATCTCTCGCTAAGTCCTCACTGTCTTACACATGTCCTTCCATAGCTCTCCCGCCTGGTTTCTTATTTCAGCTACTTTTCATTAATTCCACATTGTGTCCGTTCTCTTCCAACAGGCTGAGACAGAATGAGGCTCCTTGCTGGGATCTGGAATGAAGAACAGGCTCTGACCTGGCTCCACACCATTACTCACACGGAGATGGTTCCCCTCCCTGCCCTTTCCTCATCTCTGTGACTTCTACCACCCAGCAGTGCCGCTAACCACAAGTGTTTCTGGACAGAAAGAACACTGTGCTGACCCCGGACAGGAGCCCCCGTCTCTGAGCTTCCCCTCCCGCGCCCTGTGTGCTAGTGCGGCTCTGAGCCTGGGCTGCAGGGCTGGAGAGGCGGCATCGTGCAGTGAACGGATGCACAGAATCCACAACCAAAACAAAACCAGGAGGGGTGGGTCCCGGGTGAACAGTGCACAGGCTGTGTGACCTGCAGCTATTCATTAACCTTTGTGACTATCCACTTCCTTATCATAAAGTATGTGTAATAAAATGCATACTGAATGCATCCTTGTTAGGAAGGTATGAAATTATGTGTGAAAGACTCTGACTCACTCGTTTTCTACTAAATTTCAGTTCACTATCTCTTGTTCAGGCGTAGGAATCATTAGCTTAACATAATTGATCTCCCCAAACCTTCCAAACTTTCTCCCTTAAATTCTCCTTCTCTGATTTCATTGTAGTTTAACCTTAGTCACACTTGTTGTATTCATATGTGAGAAACCCAAAATGCAAATGAAGAGCCAAATAAAGGAAGTGGTACATAGATGACTGGGCCAGAGCATTTCAGAGGTCACAAGTAAATTACATGAAGAAGGTGCCCAGATGCCCATGGCCCCTACTGCTGCCATGTTGCCATCTCCCAGAATGCACCTGTGGCCCCATGGGGTGGATCAGCTGTCAAGGAGAAGACTACGGTCTGGTGCATTGATGGTTCTGCATATTATGCAGCTGCCATGTGCAAGGGGACAGTTGCAACATTACAGCCCCTTTCCAGGACATCCCTGAAGGAGAGTAAGGAAGGGAAATTTTCACAGTAGGCAAAACACTGGGCAGTGCACCTGGTAGTACATTTTTGCTGGAAGGCAAAATGGCCAGATGTGGGACTTTATACTGATTCATGGGCTGTAGGCAATGCTCTGGACAGATGTCAGGACCTTGGAAGGAACATAACAGAGAAATTAGTGACAAAGATATTTGGGGAACAGGTATGGGGACAGACTTTTCCATATGGACAATGAATAATGATATTTGTGTCCTATGTAAACACTCATCAAAAGTGACTCAGCTGGATAGGATGACCCGACCTGTAGATGACGGGAACATTTTCCTTAGCTGCCACTGTCACTTCCCAATGTGCTCATGACCAAAGTGGCCATGGTGGCAGTGATGAAGGTTATACATGGACAAAGCAACCAATCCAGCTGCAGCCACTGCTGAGTGCCCAGTGTGCCAGCAGCAGAGCCCAACTCCGAGTTCTGACTGGCACCACTCCCTGAGCTCATCAGCCTGTGCCCTCATGGCAGGTTGATTCTACTGGGCCACTTCCATCATCTAAAGGGCAGCCATTTGTCCTTGCTGGCATAGACACTTATGTTGGGTATGGATTTGCCTTCCCTGCATTTAATGTTTGTGCCAAACTTCCAACCCACGGACTCACACAGTGCCTTATCCACCCTCATGCTATTCCAAACAAAGTTGCCTGTGACCAAAGACGTAGGCACTTGGCTCATGCTCATGGAATTCACTGGTCTTACCACGTCCCTCACAGTCAGAAGCAGCTGGACTGACAGAGGTGGGATGGCCTTTTGACGATGCAGTTGCAACTCCAGCTAAGCAGCAGTAGATTGCAGGGCTAGGGCTAAAAGGCTGTAGAAGCTTTAAAGCATCGTCCTCTATATGTTACTGTGCCTCCCATAGCCAGGCTACATGGTCCAGAAATCAGGGGGTGGCAGTGGGAATAATACCAACACTATTATTGGGATGACCCACTAGCAGTATTTTTGTTGCCTAATCCCACAACCTCATGTTCTGCTGACCTAGGAGTCCTCGTTCCAGAGAGGGGGAAGGCTCATACCAGGGAACACAACACCAGTGAACTTGAAGCTAACACGGCCCCATCATTTTAGATGTCTTGTGCCGAACCAAATGACGAAGAGAGTTACAACGGTGTTGGCAGGGGTGATTGATCCAGACTATCAAGGGGAAATGAAGGGAAATTACTATTACTCCATAATGGGGGAAAGGAATAAAAAACTTGGAGTGCAGGACTCAGGGCATCTCCTATTATTGCTATGCCATTATTAAGGTCAGTGGAAAACTACAACCCAATATTGGGACAGGGACAGATGGTCCAGAACATTCAGGAATGAGTGTTTGGATCACCCCACCAGGAAAAGAACCAAGACTTGCTGAGGAGCTTGATGAACACTGAGGGAACACAGAAGGGGTAGTGGAAGAAGACAGTTACCAGCTCTGACCTTGTGAGCAGTTACAGAATTAAGGATTGTGATTTCAATAGCGCTCACTTAATATTCTTCCATATAATGTTCACAGACTTAATGTTGCTTAAGTATTGTTAAACCCGTGTTAGCATGTTGTGATAAAATGTTAGGATAAAGCATCACCCAAAGAAAACCCGACTTGTCTTCTGGGGAGGGAATTAGTGTGTCTCTACACACGAGAGTTGTAACATGTTAGGTGTGACTATGAACATGTCTTTGTATGTGAAGACTAAGTATGGTTTAAGGAAATGTGTCTGTTCCTCAAGTTGTCAACCAGTGGATTATAACAGCGCACTGATTCTCTCAACTTGAGTGAGAAATGCCCAATGACATTGGCTAGGCACAGTTCTGGGTGTGGCTACGGGGATTTTTTAAAGACAGAGGACACATCCTGGCTCCTCATATCCTCCTCCTGTCCCCACCTGCAGGAGATGCAAAGCACAGCAAAAACAGGTGGGGGAGGTTCTCAGTGCTCCCACTTATTTCTGCCCCCCAGACACTGGGAATCTTCTTTAATGAACTGGTCAAACACCCATGCCAGGAATTTGAAAATAACCCAATGTACATTCTGAATATTCCATTCAGTATGTGTGGTCTGAATTTCTGGAAAGATGTAAAGAATCCTCTGTCTCTGGAAAGGACCAACCCTCTAAAGCACAACTCAGACATCACTGCTTGTTACTAACAGACAGCAGGTGACCTGCAGGCTGCAACACTACCATACACACAACGCCGCTTTGTAAGCTGCTCATTTATTAGAGAGCTGTTATTCAAATAAAAGCAGGATCAAAAGCAGGAAGGATCCTGGGGAAGTTGTGTGCACTCTGCTCCTTCGCATCCCTGTAAGAAACCCACTGGGTGCACCGAGCACTGTCTCCCTGCCCAGCTGAGTGACCTTGCTGTGCAGGACTCTGCACACAATCTAGGCAGGGCCACTGGACAGCTGACCAACAGCCCACTAACAGATTGAGCTACACTGGCCAGGGTGTGGGACAGTTCTCACGACAGCACGGACGAAGCTGCAGTTCAGGGCACCGTGACATTGCTGGAGCCACCCCAGCCCACAATGCTGGAACAGGAGAGTTGATGAGGAAGGGAACACGGGTCAGGTGGGAACAGAAGTCCTGGTGCCCGGGGCCGGGCTGCTCTCTACACACCCTCCCTGAGCCGACAGGAGCCAGGACACACTCAGAAGCCATCTGCAGAGCGGTGATTCGGGTGTTCTTGAGGTCACAAAGCACAGGGTAGAGAAGTCAGGTGTCGCCTGGTCACCCACAAAGCAGCTGTCTCACGCTACAGGACAAAAGAGTCGTAAATCATTCAGGGCCATGGCTCTGCCTGGCACCGTTCTGAAGAACCCACTGCTCCCATGAAAGAGAGGCTCTCTGCAAGTAGGAGAGGAGCTAGAGATGGAGGCAGGGATGGAGCGGTGGGCACGGAGAAGGGAAAAGCAGAGACGAGTGACGTATGTGCTCTGAGTCCCCAGGAGGAACATAAACGTCATGTACAGCAAACATGTGCTAATACACATTGACAAAGAGCCACTGCCCACACACAGGCTCAAATTCAGACAGCGACCTTGCTGCGGCCCCTCTGCCTCACCCCCACCTCACTTCAGGCCCTCCCTCCGGGGTCTCACCTTTACAAGCCGTGAGAGATGAATCTGAGCCCTGGGCACTGTCATTATCTGCATGTAAAAGATAACACAATACTGTCAGAGGTCACAGCAGACATGGGGAAGGAGGGATCACAGTGGTGCAGTGTCCCCATGGATACTGACCACAGGACCCCCAGGCTCTCAGGAACCAGCTCCCCATACTTACTTGCAGCCTGAGCGTAGCCCCCTCCTTTTACACCTGTGGGAAGCAAATGCCCTGTGAGAAGCCAGGGAGGAGGCCGGGCCTTGACAATCTGGAGAACCGCCCAGCCTGGACCCAGGGAAGTTTCCAGATCTGGGATGCAGACCCAGGGAGGGATCAGGAGGCACGAGGAAAGGACATGTTCAGGACCCGCGCCAACTGCCCTCCTGGAGCTCCGTCCTAGCAGAGACCTTCCCCTTTGACCCTGACTGCTGGGAATCAGGTCCCCATCTCCACAGCCCTCCGGGTGACAAATCTGTTCTTCCTGTCCCTGTGTTTTACAACAGCTCAGTGTCCAGGGCCCCAGGCCAGGCGAGCACGTGTGTGTGTGTATGGAGTGTCCCACAGTGCAGCGGGTGCTCTGCTCCCTGGGGCTGAGACAGGAAGACGCCGCCCCCACCCTACCTGCTCTCCTCATCCTCCACATCAGGAGACCAGCACCAGCTCCAGTGAGCACAGCTAGAAGGAGGATCGCAGCAGCAACAACCCCCAGGATGGGGAACGGGGGCTGAGCAGGCGACTCTGGAAGGGAAAGGGAAGGTGAGAGGCTGCTATTTTTTAGATCTAATTGGACTGCAAAGCCTCGTGCAAATGCAGGGAATGTGGAAGCTGTGGGGCTCAGCACTCACTTGCGTTAGGATCTGGGGTCTGGGGGAGAGGAGGTCCCTGTGGGAGGGGCTCGGTAGGGTTTCTCCCCCTCCTCCACGCGTCCATTGCTTTCTCTGCTTCCTGTCTGCCCTGCCCTGAGCAGCTCTCCTGTGCCAGGCCCTCTGCCCTGCAGTGCTGCCTGGAACCAGCTGACTTTTGACTGAAACATCTACAAACTTATGCGCCATAGTAAACTCTTTCTACTGAGGGCATCAAGTGCTGTGGGCATCAGGTGCGTCCCAGAGATAACAGTGACTAGGACAGGGACCCTGACCCCAGCTCCCCAGCCTGGCCTGCTGAGGGTCTCCAGAAAGACTCCTGCCGTCCAAGAGAAGAGGGCCTGTGCCTTCTCCCCCTCTGTCTTAGTTACTTTCTCACTCCTGAGACAAAATACCCCACACCAACACTAAAGAGGGAAAGGTTCACTTCATCTCACAGTTTGCAGAGATTTCAGGGCAAAGTCAGGAGGCTTTAAGGCAGGGAGGCCTGGCAGGGGCATCACAGACGAGAAACAGTCCGTGGGAAGGCAGGCAGCAAGCTTCCTGTTCTTCACTGGATTCAGGCTGTGAGCCTGTTGGTGGATCCCATTCACACCCTGGGTGGGTCTCTGTCTTCCTTAATCCACACAGCCACACCCAGAACAGTGCTGATCCAATCAGCAGAGTGATCCAGTTATCACATCCTTAATCCAGTATCACACATCCATATCCAGCCACCGGACAAACCCCACCTATGAGCACATGAGGCTTCGGGGATCACCTAGATACAAGCCGTAACACCCCCTTACCCCATCTCAGGGTGCGGGGCTCAGGCAGCCCCTCGTGCTGCACACGGCAGGTGTAATTCTGCTCCTCTCCAGAAGGCACCACCAGAGCCGCCCACTTCTGGAAGGTTCCATTCCCGTCAGGCCTGGTCTCCACCAGCTCCATGTCCTGGGTCAGGTCCTGCCCATCCCGCTGCCAGGTCAGGGAGATCTCCTCAGGGTAGAAGCCCAGGGCCCAGCACCTCAGGGTGACCTCCTCCTTGGA